TAAGCATCTGAGTTTATCCAAACTTTTAAACTAGAGAGTGCACCAGAGCAAAAACTAATACAAATATTCTGGATTTCCAACATCACAAAAACCAGCTTTTCTTGCAATGTAGCGTCACCTCAGTTGAAGAAAAAGCTTAGAAATGATACCTAACTTTTCTGTTTGCAGCAAATTACCTCTTGACAGGATCAGTGCAATTTATTTCTGAGGCTCACAAATTAGTGTTTGTGTTATCTGCTATGTGTAAAGAGATCTTGTAAAATAACCAGAACTTCAGGTTCACCAAAGGAGTTCTGATGCATTTGCTCACTTTTTTTTCTCCTTCTGTGCCTACTTTGATGTCTCTTAGTAGTCTGGTTCAGTTCCCAGAAGGCACCAGAAGAATCTGTGGTACCATGACATACAGCAGGGCAGGGAGAGTTTCTGGCAGCAAGAACTTAAAGAGAATTCAAGGATGAAATTGTTGAATTACTGACGATATTGTGTAACAGGCTCATATAAAACTGCTTTTGTACCTGATGACTGAAAGGTGGCAAATGTGATGCAAGTTTTTAAAACCCACTCCATGGAGAAAGTAAGCTTTTGGATGGCATATTTTTGCCAGGCAAATTAATAAAAACCTTAATAAGAATAGTATAAGAGGACTGTAAATTGCCTGTAAAGCGTGGACATAATTCCTTTTTAAAGATAAATCCTTTACAAACCTGTTTGTAGGAGTCAACAAGCATGTGAATAAGGATGTTTTAATTGACATATTTTGAATTGCCAGAAGGTTTTTCACAAAACCCCTTAGCAAAGATTTTTAAGAAAACTAAATTGGCATAAGAGGATCCTTGTGTGCCAAAAAGATACTTGTGAGGTAAGTTGAGGGAGTTTGCTAATGGTGAAGTTGTCCAAGGTAATGAGGACAAAGAAGGATCAAAACATTGTGAAAGACCTTAATGAAACTGAGAAGCCAGACAGTAAATAGTTGGTGAAGTTCCATCTAGATAAATGTAAAGTGATGCACACGCAAGGAAAACTTCACAAAACTTCACGTAGAAAGTAATGTGCTATGAATTGGCCGTTAACACTTGGGAGGGAGATCTCAGGTTTATAATAGTGATTCCATGAAAGCATCAGCTCAGAGTTCAGCACTGATCCACCCTGAGCATTGTATATGGTTCCTGTCCATGACTTCAAAATATTTGATTGAATTTGTTAAATTGTGGTAGCATTGAGAAGGGCAACAAGGATGCTCAAATGAATGGGATATTTTCCGTGCACAGAATGACTGGGCAACACACAGATAACTTGGGATGTGGTACGGGTTTTATAAAATTGAGTTGCATGGAGCTACATTTACACAAAACAAGTTGTTTCTTGACACAACAGATCGTAGGCATCGGAATTCACTGCGAAGAGTGGAGGTAACGTTTTACATCGATTCAAGAGATGGCTATGCAAGAGAAAATCACTGGGATTTACACAGAAAACACCTGGCTTTGGAAAATTTCTGGTGGGAAAAACATGTGGACCTTGTGAAAATAGTTGGGGGAAATAGCATATATGTTTGTGCTGCTCCTGTTCTTCTCGCGGTAACTGCATATGATTGTTTTGGGGAATAAAATGATAGGCTAGATGCAGCTTCAGTAGAGGTGAGCAGGTCTGTGCTTTTGGATTGTCTGTTGCTACATTTGCGTTTTTGAAGTGCTTTGAAAGTCATCGTTGCTTGTCTCAGTAGTTGTAGAGTATTTCTCATGTTTGCATGTTCTGAAATCGGGAAACAGTAGTAGTAGTAGATCATTGCCGAAAGCTGTCCAGATTCTGTTAATCCTTGCACACTTCAGTAGTTCAGGTGGTTTTAAGGAGACTTGTTACAAAAAGATAGTATCTTCAACTTTAATGGAAAGACATTTGTAAATTTAACTTTTTATTAAACCAATTGAGATAGGAGAACAAGACTAAAAGGTTGTTAAACTTAGTTATGGCTACCAGAGCACTGTGAATTGCTTTATTCATTCTTCCTGTAGCATAAACAGCATATTGCAGATTTTTATTTGCATTTGTGGTAGCTGTTAGCTTCTGTTATTATTTTGTTTTATGGAACTGGGTTTTAGATACCGGTGCTCCCCACTGGGCAAAGTATGCTGCGTCATTTCCTAATATATACCTCAACAAATTATTCTCTCCCTCTTTCCTACTCCCTCCCTCCCTGCAATGAAGATAATTTTGTATGGCGATCTGAGATCGGTTTACCCTGCAGCATTAATCTTCTAACAGAGAGATACTATTTTATTTTTCCAGCATGCTGTAATCCACCCTGGTTTCTGATATATTTAAAACCTATTAATTGTTAATGTTGCACTTCTTGAATTCTCATCATGACCAGACTACATGCGGGGCTCCGGTTTGGGAAGGATCATTAACCATTCCCTTGGGGATCCCGAGGGGTACTTTCTGGAGACAGTGTGAGCTGTGTTATTTGTGAGAGTTTGTCCTTGTGCTGCTACATCTGTTTGAAACCGGGACTTTGTGCATAGTCTGCATTGTACGGTTTTGAACTGCATCGCCTAACGCTAGCGCTGTGGATTGTTATCTGGAATGCACAGAGGAATCATTGATCGCTGCTGCTTTTTGCCTTTTCATTTTTTTAAACGGGACTGCAGACGCTAGTGGGTATTTTTGCTATTTCTTTTCACCAATCTCAGACACTTCAAATGGTTGAGGTACTTTTCGGCATTGCTTTCTTGTTCTAGATTACTTGATCTAACAATTAGTAATTAAGTTGAAAAGCAAAACGTATCTTCCATGTAAAAAAAAATAAAAAAAAAAGGCTATTCCCTAATGATACAGCAATCTTTTAATATACATTATAAATGTTATAAGATATATTGACTGGCATATCTATCGTAAAATGGATGCTCAAAAAACTTTTAATCTGCATGTATAATTGTGTTATATTAAGCAATGAATGGTACAAGTCAGAAACAATTTTTTTGTTATATTTTAAGCTTTTAAACTTTGGACTTGACTGAATTCTAGAAACAGAGGAAGCAGGAAATAGGGATATTTATTTTAGGGGTTTTTTTTTACACTTTATCACATTCATTGTAACAACACTGTAGTGCCATTTAATAATTCAGTAGTTCATTCTAGACAAGGTGTTTTTACATTTGTAATTGTTTTAATATGGTACCCCTATGGCAATGAAATACAGTATTTAATGGCAAAAGCTGATAAAAATTATATCACATGTCCAGAAAATTTGTTAGCAATGACATTTGCAAACTCATGCAGTTGATTTAAAAGAAATGTAGCAAGAAACCTATGTTGTTGTAGTCCAAACAAATTATTAAGAAAGTGTTTAATGTTAGGTAATAGATTATGGGAGAATGTCTTCTTGGGCAGATATGATGCAATATGTTTTTCTTGAATTTGTGTATTTGTGCATGTGCATATATGTGGAGAAAATCCTCATTAGGGCAGGCTTCTCTGGAAGCTTAAATGTGTACTAAGGGAAAATTACAGTCTTTATCTTCAAGTTTAGAAAGTCTGGAAGTAGCTAATTTACTGTTACAATTCTTTCATTAATGAATCAGTAACTTCAACTTTTCTGTCTTTCTTTTCTAAGTGAGCTTAGTATCAAATATGTGATGTGTATATCCAAGATTAAACAGCCAAGTTTGATTTCTTCAAATAGTACTGTAAAGGGGGGAAAAAAAATCACTGCAAAGCAAACTTCAGAAAAATATAACTTTATAACAAATTGAACTATTTTTTCCTGCGCTAGTTGAAAAACAAGGTTGGGAAATGAGCATTTATCTTTTCTTGTAGACTGCCATTTTTTGCTCTCTTCTCTTCAGAATCCATTTCTCATCTTAAATAAGGATGGAGGACCACACGTGCACAGATGCTGATAGGATAAAGCAGGTTGAAAGGGACCTCAGAGGTCATGTGGTTCAACCTCCTGCTCAGAGCAGGGTCAGCTGTGAGATCAGAGCAGATATGCTGTTTTATATGAATTAGAAAAATGTTTGAATCTTTTTTGAGTCAGGAAATTAATTTTAATCTGTATCCATGACACATCAGAAAAATCGACATGTTATACCTAATTGAGGCCTCAATGCAGTAGCAGTTATAAACTTTTTCCTTACCGTCCAGTGCCATTCCCCAGCTCCTGCAGCGTTAACAACAGAGCTCTCCGCGATCTTGAGGGTGTTCTAAACTGGTGACCAAAAGGAGCCCTGGTATTTAGCAAAATTGTAATCAATTGCCAGTTCCTGAAAATGTTCAGTCAAATTTAGGATTAATATATTCGGCGTTTCACTTATCTCAAATTTTTCATGGTGTCAAAATGTTTTTTGAAGCATGGTAACTTTTGGTAGCATTTCCTGGCGCAAGCACTTCCTGCGTGCTCCTCCAAACTTCGGCTTTCCCGTGGGCTCTGTCACTCGCCCGTTCTGCAGGGAAATGTTTGGGGATTGCAACCTTTTTACCCGGCAAGTGATGGAGCCTGCAAAGGATCTCCTCTCACGAAAAGGTCTCCAGGAGCGAATATCTTCCAAATAAGTGCTAATAGCTATCACTGAAGAGAAGAAGAAGTAGGGATAAATAACAGTGATTTGTTATGGGGCAAAAGCGGTTTCTCATAATGTGTCTGTTGGATCAGCAGGTGATGGGGAAGGCTTTCAGGGGGCGCTCTGCAATTCAGACACGATAATGGGACAGCGGGGCTCTGCAGCGCGGAGGATGTGCAAGGTTGGGGGAGGAACTATTTGGTAGCCTGGGGACGGCAACAACAATAGAGCTACCTTTTCTTCATAAGCTCTGGCATGCTACCAATTCCCTAACCTGTGTTAAATCTAATTATTATGAGGGCTGAAATTTTATTTCCTCCTGTTTATCTCAAAAAAGTAAAGCAAAGAAAAAGCTTCCAGCAGAAAGTGTTATTTTTGATTTTTCTTCTGTACTGTATATTACCCTGAAAAATTGTAAATTGATTATTGTTTGTTATCCAGATGGATCCTGTGCAAAAAGCAGTCATAAACCATACATTTGGAGTGTCCATTCCCCCAAAGAAGAAACAAGTCATTTCCTGTAATGTCTGCCAGCTTCGCTTTAACTCTGATGTAAGTATTGTCTATTTTAATTCCTTTTTTTTTTTGAGTACAATAGGTGTAAATAATCTAAACCTCTTTTTCCCAAACAAACTATTCCAGTTCTGCGTACGTTCTGCTCAGCCCAATATGAATTGTCCACTCAGAGGTGGAAGTCCTTAGAGGTACATTGCTCATTCATTTTCTTGAATGGGTCTGGCACAATATCCAATGCCATGTCCATTGATGATATCTCATTTGACTGTCCAGTAACCTTCAGAGGTACTGCAAAAAGGAATCTTAAAAAAACCAAAACAAACAAACAACAACAACAAAAAACAAGTGAGGGGGAAGGGCAGTCAGAAAGGCTTCCCTAGGGTTCTCTTCATGTCATACCTGCTCTTCTTCCAGAAGAAATATTCCTCTTGTTCCTACATCCTTTCTGATAATATATATTCTGATTTCTTAATAAAGTCACCCTTCCAGTAACTTTAATTTATAATAAATATGAACATTTACTTCTAGCTGTCTTTTTTAGTATGATAAAGTTCAAGGAAGCTGTTTTCTGAGGTTTAATTAAAAAAAATGCATTCCAAAAGAGCATATTGACTGGTATATTTCCTGAGTAGCTGGAAAATTAAAGAAATTAATAATTTTCTTAGACATAGTTTTTATGACCTTCAACGATTTAAAAATATGTATTTGTTTTTGGATACTACTTACTAATGTCATTATGCTAATAAAAACAAAAAATTCTCAGAAGTTTTGTTGATCTCAAGTGTAAGAACAAGTACTTAAGTGATGCGTGAATAATATTATATTTTTCCCTATTATAATTTCAGTCTATGAAATAGTTTGCAGATACTTGCTCAAGGCCTTCGAGTAGTTAGTACTGCTAGAGATTCGCAGTAAAGCACCCATACCTGTTGCTCTGATTTTTCTCTGCCTCTACCATTCCAATTTGAATAGTGTCATGTAAAATGGTTTCTCCAGTTTGGCTTTCTTGTCTAGACTGGTAATGATTTTGAAGCGTTGCTATCTTACCTTCAAATTGATTTCTAAATCTGTCACCTTTTGACAAGCTTATTAAATTTTCTTTGAAGTGGTAATGTCTACTTAGCTAACCAATTTCAAAAGCTGTTATTTAAAACTTAGTTCGCTTGTCTTTCCTCTTTAAGGTTAAGATTTAAGGTTAAAAAAAAAAAAAGCTTTCTGCTATGATACTTGGTTCAGATACCTACTTTTGCTGATTAAAACAAGGAACTGATAAAGTTTTTAAAAGGTTCCATGGGCTCCATGGATCTGAATCTTGCTTCTGAGCTGGACCTTACTCTGTCACCAGGGAGGCAGCTCAGCCTGCTCCTGCTCTTCCCTCTCCTCCTGAGGTCAGGGTCCCTCTGATGATGGGTCCTGTCCCAAGAGCAGTCACTCACTCTGTCTGCACTGACATTCAGGTGGACAAACAGCACGTCAGGCAGATGGATTGAATCACAACTTAGTGGCTCAAAACAAAAAAAGGGCTGAAATATTATATCATTTTGTACATCTGCCAACCATACAATTTTTCCTATCTAGACTTACAAAGCAGAACAAAAAGTGCATATCGTATTCTGCTTTCAATAGTGGCATCACAAACACATGGCAGATTATAGCCTTATTTCCTCTTCTGGAGCCAGTGTATTCATATGGTGTGGTGCTCCTTTCTTTCTAAATGTGATCAATATGCTTGGTTATAGTTATTAGAAAATATCATCGACCTTTTGTAATGGACAGTTGTAAGAAAGGATGAAGCACCATGACGGTGCCACTGTTAGTGATGAAGTGCAGTTCCTTACTTTCTACAGCAGTTTGCTTTACCAGGACTTTCACAAACAACCTGGAAATATGATTTTAGAATGCGCTGAGATTCTACTACTGTTATTAATAGTAGAAAATACTTCAATATAAATTTAAATTTCACAAATATTTCATAACCACGACATACAAGAATATTTAGAGAATGAGTTTTCATAGTATAGCACTTCTATTTTAAAAGCTTTCATCAGATTATTCAGTTTCTCCGGGGAAGCTTTACATAAGATTTTAAATCTTTCCTCCAGGTTCAGTCTTTTGACCTTAAGAGTTATTTATCTGAGCGTGTGCTACCTTTTTTTTTTTTCCCCTGAGTGAGATCTTATTTTATTCAGATATTATTCTCACCACCACCTCCATAATCTGCGTTATAATTTCACTGAGGTAATGCTAATGGCCTTTCAACTAAGCCTCAGACTCTTACAATTATTTCTTAGGTTGTTAAAAACTCCTTCACAGAAATAAAGATCTGGACTCTTTGCTTATGTGTTTCTTTTTGGTGCTTTTATAATGTGAAATTATCCTTATGGGGTGGAATGGTCTTTACAATCCATCCTGTGTTTGAGGATTGGGGAAAAGGGAGTCAGATATATGTAATTGTTGAATCTTTCAGCAAATCAGTTCCACCCTGTAATATCTTAAGAATGTATTGAGAGTCTTTTGAGTGGCATCAAACTGTGATAACCTGCATTAAAGCCGTGAGCGTAGCACATTGCAGAATGAGATTTGTAGTACAGCCACTTCACGCTTGCAGTTTCTTCTGGCTCTATAAGGCTGACGTGCTCCTTGTTGTTGATGAGCGTTTCGTTCCTTTGAACTTCCTTTGACCTAAATTATGCAAGCAAATGAAATAAAAATGACAGAAGTAAGCTGTTAAGTAGTTTTCTTACTTATGTTCTCCTAAATGAATTTCAGTAGCATGGTGTTTGAAGATTCTGATCTGATTCTGGTAGTGCTTTATCTATTGCATGAGTAACATATAGACCAGTGGATATTTGTCTGTGAGAAGAAGAAAATTGGTTTCCTTGACTGCAATCTTTTCCTCACACTGTGGACACTCACTGGTCTGGATCAATAGACCAAAAAAAAAAAAAAAAATCAGAGTAGTCAATTCATAGTTGTCAAACCTCCCACTAAATTAATACAGTAAATTGCAAACGTTTCACTTCTGCTCATGTGTCTGCAGGTTTAGCTTTGGTGAGGGTGTTCTGGCATTGGATTCAGGGGCAGGGATCTGCATCTATCTGCAGGAAGAGAAAGTCTGATATCAGAGATGGAAGAAAATTTTAAAATAGGCTGCCTCCAGTGTGGGAGTAAACATATCTAATGTTGAAGTGATGCCTTCTGTATTTTGAAAAATAAAAGTTGCTAGGATGATGCTATTTTTCTTCTACCATATTATAATTTGAACAGAGTGTTTCCTAACTGAATTCTTCAGGATCTCCCAGTCTCCTGTACTTTTAAAACATTTTTAAAAGTACAACATGAAGAAAACACCTGCGTACAAACTCTAAATTCAGTCTAGTGATAGACTGATCTGTTTATTCTCTTCCAAAAAGAAATTATGGGGTTTGACTCATGCTTATAAACATTCACCATCATACTCTATCTGTCCTTTTCTAGAATTCATTAGCTGTAGTTTGGTCAGTTTGGAAGTTGTATTTTTCTGCTAATAAATTCTAGTACAGCCAGTTTGAGCACCCTTTCCAAGCTCTGTCAACTCCAGGAGAAACTGTAGTACACAAGCGATGATCCAAAGTCTTGAGAAAAGAAAAATAAAATGCCATCTCTGTAAAGTAACACCAAACTCAAGTTCTTTGAATGGCCTGAACATTGAGGTCCTAAAATGGGAATTTTATCTGTAATAGTAGTATTGACCTGACAACAATGATAGCTGAGATTGCTTCAACAATATTTTTTGCATGATCTTGTTAAGATGCTGTAGCTGGTACTTAGAGTTGGATTAGGTGCCTAAACATAAGTGTCTCGTCATTTGAGTATCTGCGGTATCTGGGACATCCACACCAAACCTGACAGAGGATCTGCAGTAGGAGGTCAGGCAGGACACCTGAGGACATCCCAAATTATACTGGATGCCTGTTTCTAGAACTGAATCCCCAGTTTAGGATTCAGGTTTGGCTTCTACTTTCTTTTTCCTTTTTTTTTTTTTTTTTTTTTTGAAGTAGGGTGGAGGGTGGAAGCAGGATTTAGTGAGAAGAAAATGCATTAAAAGAAATAGGAGAAAGTTAACTGACCTCAAGATTATGATACCAGAAGACTGAAAAGTTAGTGGAGCTGTCAGCAATTCAAAGGAAGAGAAATGGCAAAAAACTGAGGAGGGAATAGAGAAAAGGACTTTTTCCTAAACTAATTTTTGGTGATGGAAGATACCAGGAGTCAACTGCTGTTGAATTAAGTTGGAAATCTCAATTTAGGAAGGATAGTGTTATGAGGATTGGTAGTTGATGAGATTGATTAGTCAGAATAGTCAATGAGATACTTATTCCAACCTGCATAAACTTTATTCTGTTATGCAGAGGAACATGTTTGGAAAACTGTTTTTAAAAAAAAAATAAAGGCAACACCATCCATTATTACTGACAGTTGGATTTGCTCCAGTATATTAGAATAAACACAGGTGCCTCCATCTTTGCACCAAAATATCTATTAACACCATTTTATCTCTTAATTTCTACATGATGATGAACCAGTATGTGTTCCAGTGCAGCACTGACTAGAGTGTTAGTAAAGTTCAAGCTATGGTCTTGTGTTGTAATCAAGCTCAGAAAAAATGAGAAATGTCTCAGTTATATTTACTACCACCAGACACCAGGCAGCAGAAGAGGAAGAATCGTCTTCATGGAACAGATTGTGATAATGAGTCAGATTTTATGCTTGCTTAAAGGCCACCACAGCAAGGGATGTAACTGTATTCCACCAAGAGGAAGCAAGACATGCTGACAAAGATTTAGCTGAGCCTTTGAAAAAAATTTCTTTTTTCCTTTTAAGAATTCTGGGATTCCTTCCAAACCCATGGTAAATCTATGTGTACTATATATAAGCTTTGCTAAATAAGTTTTCATATGAATTACATAGGTCTGGCTTGTTGATATTAATTATTTATATTACAGAAATTCTAGCAGAAACAAAAAGCAGCTTGAGTGAATTTGCTGAATCCTTGC